TTCAACCTTCATACCCTTAATAATATTTAACAAGTCTTGCTTTGGGTTCTCTTTTGCACTGTCTTTGCTCTGGGAAGCTTCCTTGGATGTCTTAGGAACTTCAGTAGACTCCTCATCTTTCTTGTTAGTGCCAAAATACCTCTGGATGATAGTCTTTGTCCTGACAGTTCCCTGCGGAACAGCGAGGAGCAGCCTCCCAGGCAGAGATACTTCCACGCTTCCAGGGGACACAGGGAAGTGTGACGTGGGGCGAACAGACAACAGGGTGGAGACTCGAGGAAACATCTCAGAAGGACCTAATTCCTTTTTTAAAACCTTTTCTTATTTGTATATAGTACAGATATTTTTACTAATTTACTATTTGCCTTTTAATTTTCTTTGTATACATATGTATACATGTACGATTTGCATTTTTGCATGATAAAATCCATTCTTAACCTTTACTGTTGAATTTCATTTGCTCCTATAGACTCAGAAAATCCAAAATAGAATAAATTCTTATTCAGCTGTGTTTTCTTCTGTTGATTTCCTTTATTGATTTCTTTTCCTACATTTAACCTATTTGTAGTATTTTTGGTGTCTTAAAATTCAATTGCAGTTTAAAATAAAATTTACAAGTGATGGACATCTTAGTGAATCACCCTTTGTAGGTAACATTTTTATAAACCATATGAAGACTTGTAAGTTTTTAAGTCCTTTTTACATTTCTCATCAAGGTTTGCGAGTACATTTTCTATCTGCAGTTGTTGCTGTAGATGAGATTTGCTTTGTATAATTTTCTAATTAATATGTGGGAAAACTGTTGTTCATTTGATAACACTTTTTAAATCTAACCATATGTTTGTTTTCCCTACCTAATAGTACTCTCTTGAGGTTTCTAAGCAAATTACCATGTGATCTACAAATGAAATTTAAATATTCTCTTTAATAGGCCAAAACCAAATCCGTTACCATCAGATCACTTCGGGCTTATAACTGCCCAGTAGGAGAGACTAGAATTGTCCTCTAGGGGTTCCAGCTGTTTGTTGTTCACAGGGTCACTGTGGGTTGTACTTGGCTTGCCAGCACCCAGCAACAACAGCAGCTTTTACTGAAGCCAGATTGCATCATCTCCTGCTGTAGGGCAGCTGGAGGTGTAAACCACCAACCTTTAGCTTTAACAACTGTACCACCAAAGCTTATTTCCTTTAATAGGCTCATTTCTGTCCCATCTGTCATATTGACTGTTGTTGTTATGTGCCATCGAGTCGCTTGCGACTCATAGCAAGCCTATGTACAACAGCCCTAAACTCTGCTCTGTCCTGTGCCAATCTCATTGCCTCTGACACACCTACCCCCGTTACCCTAGTCACTGAATCAATCCACCTCATAGAGGGCCTTCCTCTCCTGCGCCGTCCCTCCACCCTCCCAAGCATGATGTCCCTCTCCAAGGACCTGTCCCTCCTTACGACATGACCAAAGTATATCAGATGAAGCTTCAGAATCCTTGCCTCCAAGGAGCCGTCCGGTTTAATCCTTTCCAGGATGAATCTGTTTGTTTTCCTAGCAGTCCATAGTACATTCAATACTCTTCTCCAGCACCACAGCTCAAAGGCATCAATTTTCCTTCTCTCCTCCCTAGATGTTGTCCAACTCTCTGATGCATAACAGGTGGTTGCAAAGACCATGACCTGTATCAGATGCACCTTAGTCTCCAGAGAGATACCATTGCTCTTCAGTACTTTGGAAAGGTCCCTAACAGCAGACTTTCCCATCACAATGTCTTTTAATTTCCTGGCTGCTGCTGCCAAGAGTGTTGACGATGGAGCCAAGCCGACTAAAGCTGTGAACAATCTCAGTCTCTTCACCGTCCATCCTGATGCTACCAATTAATTGGTGCAGTGGTGAGAATCTTTGTCTTCTTGACATTGAACCTCAATCCATATTGAAAGCTGCAGTCCTTGACCCTCCGCAGCAAGCGCCCCAGGTCCCCCTCATATTGACTAGATCATCAAATTCTCAACCTTTGTGGTCTTAAAAATTCCTCCTATATTCTCAAAGTGTAATTCCCAAAGAGTTTCCGTTTATATGGAATGTATCTATTCATATTTACTGCTTTACAAATTTTACCCAAGAATGTAAAACAATACTTACTTTACATTTTCACTTTAAAGCAGCATAATAGGACCCATTCCAAACAAAATATTTTTATGCAAAAAATTTGCTGTGGGAGCTGACCTTGTTTTACAGTTTAGCACCTCTCTTTGGCATCTGTCTCATTAGAAGACAGCTCGATTCGTAATTTTTTCTGTTTTTAATCTGCTGCCGTATGCTGTTTCAGTTAAGTATTTGATGAAAACCCAGCTTCCCACAGACCTGTAGTCGGAAAAGGAAAAGTATCTTAGAAGCTCCCTGAAGGGGTTGTGAGTGCTTTGCTTTGATACCACACCAGAACTCAGCTGGTTTCGTAAGCATCAGTTGCCATGTGGAGTCTGAATCATGCCATGGCCTCTCTGTACTCCTGTTAGGTTGACATCTGTAACGTGACTGTCCTGCACTCTGGTTGGGTCTTCTAGTTTTGCATGATTTTGTAACATGATTGTTGTTGTTATGTACGGTCGAGTCGCTTAAGACTGTAGTGACCCTATGTACAAGGGCTCTGAATCCTGCCCTATCCTGTGCCAACCTTATTGTCTCAGACACACCGACCCCCATTACCCCAGACAATGACTCAATCTATCCCATCACGAGTCTTCCTCTCCTGTGCTATCCCTCCACCTTCCCAAGCATAATGTCCCTCTCTAAGGACTGGTCCCTCCTGGCAACATGCACAAAGTATGTCAGGCACAGCTTCAGAATCCTTGCCTCCAGGGAGCAACCTGGTTTCACCCTCTCTAGGACAAACCTGATTGTTTTCCTAGCAGTAGCACCATACATTTGGAAAATAATGCTTCACTGATTTATGCAGTTCTTCCAAACATTGGTGCATTTCTTTGTCCAATAGGACGGTGCATACAATGAATCTTACCATCTCACTCATCTGCGAAGTCAAGTCCCGGAGCATAGTCAAGCTCTGACGGAATATCTATTTCCCAGCTTCTGATTCTTGCTAGAAATTCCATCACCACCAGTAAATTCTGTGATGTTTTCCTTGAGATGGCAGGTTCATTCTTGAAAAGCGGCTTCCAGGAGCCCAAGTCTAAATAATCATAACTTTTCCGTTCTTTTATCTCCCAGGTGAAAGTGCTGTTCATACAAAAAAGTGGCCCATTCCATTTGCCCCTCACAGGCACACTGGTGCTTTCCTGTGGTGCTCGGGCGTCTACAGCACAGTTCCTGTGCCCGTCCGTTTCCTCACACAGAACACTGAAAACGTGTGCTTACGGGAGAGATCAAATACGATGATTTTTTTTTTCCTGGCAGAGTTTCATGAAATTTTAATTCATTTTTTTTTTAGTTAATTTTAATGAGAGTTTACAGAGACTTAGGGTTTCCATTCATTCATTGTTGCACTTTTCTCCCTGCCCACCCCTTCTCCCCCACCAATTCACTCTTCTCCTTAAAAAGTAAAGGAAAAATTCTTTCATTGTTATACAATCCCTCCCCCCAAGTCCACTCCACTGTGCAGCCTTCATTCTGGACTCCTGTCAGGACCATAATACCCAATCATATATCCCTTTTAAACAGTTCTCTCCCTCTTCAGTTTCAGTGCAGTGTACATCATTCATTCCCTATTTCTCTGTCTTCCCTCAACTCCAGTGTTAGTCCCGTTTTACAACAGTGGCCCTATGCAATATTTGTCCTTTTGTGACTGAGATATTTCACTCAGCATAATGTCCTCCAGGGACACCCATTTTGTATAATATTTCGTGAGTTCCTTGTTTTTCAGTGCAGCGTAGGATTCCATTGTGTGAATATACCACAGCTTCTCTATCCATTTGATTGTTGATGGAAATACCATGATTTTAACTGCTCCATTGGGAGAGTGTTCAGTGAGTCTGGTGTGTTTGTTTGCCTGCTATGTGCCCAGAGGGGCAGATGCCCTGCGCACTCATGTGGTTTGGTGCCACTGTCCCCAGTCTCCCGAGGCCCTAGCCGTTCTGTCCTCCACCGTGTTTGCACCATCAGTGTAAATGTCAGCATGGGGAAATGAGAGATGACCTCTCTGTGTTACTACAGAAGTCGTTTCCTTGCTGACCCCCTGAAAGAGTCTTAGGGGATTCCCAGGTCTCACAGGCAACTTTATGAAAATACCTATAAGTGTTTTACAACAGTGACAGGATTTCCTTATCTTGACCCAACAGTGGAAGTGACCAAACCACTTCACATTGCTTTCGACTCATGGTGACCCCATGCATTGCAGAGCAGAATTGCATGTTCCCCAGAGGATTTTCAGGGTTTGGAAGCAAAGCACTAGGCCTTGACTCCAGAACACCTCTGTGTGTGTGTGTGTGTGTGTGTGTGTGTGTGTGTGTGTGTGTGTGTGTCTGTGTGTTCGAACCACCAACTCTTGGGTCAGTAGGTGAGCACTCAACCTTGTGCACCACCCAGGACTCCTGGAAATGCCTGCTGAGTGGATAACAGTCCTGAGGTGAAATGTTAACTCTCGATACATCTGTAAATTTTAGACAATGATTCTGGGACCTCAGACCCCGACGTGGACAACGCCGCCAGGACCAACGGGAAAGGGAGTCCCAGTGAGCCACCACCTAGTCCCGTGCAGTTTGTGAACAACTCGGGCGCCGGCGACTCCAGCCGCTCCACACTCCAGAGGTACCCAGGCCCACACGTGATTTCACATTATGCGTCCCAGTCACCCAGAGCCCAATCTCAGTGGCACCATTACTTCCAAAATAGAGCCGGCAGCTGCACAGTCCCCACTCCAGCCCCAGCCTCTCCACAGTCTCTTTATGCCACCCCCTGAGTTCTGTCTCCGCACTCTTAGTAGTTAATGTAAAAATACTAACAGGAGATTATTAATTTTCCCTCCTCGCTTCCACTCTTCCCAGCCCTCCTACACACAAGTTTGCTATCCAGACTCAGCTTTACAACTGTGAGCTTTTGATTCAGAGAGTATGATTCCCTCCCTCCCATCCTGTCACAGCTCACAATTACCCTGTCTCGCTTCAGAAAAGTAAGTAGTGAGCCACACACCGCGCTCTGAGATTGCACAGCGGGTAGGCAGCAGAGCGAGCACAGCCAGCGGCCTCTGCCATTGGTGTTGATGCTGAAGCTGGAGGTGGGCTGGCCCCTCTGACTCCGTGCACTGAGGTGTGGCCCTTTCTCACAGTTACGGACTATTGATTATAAGGCAATGCTGATTTCCAGCATATAACCCCTGCCTTCTCCTGGTAAAACACAGGCCAGGTTCTGTTGGAGAAAGAATTGCTATCATCAATACCACGGCTATTATTTCTTTATAGCTCCTTTGGTGAAAGAACTCAAAATTGCATTCAGATAGGCGTCGGCCTCTGTTGAGGACACAATTTTCTATCAGAGATTTTCTTCTCCCTTGGTTAAACAAAATAGGCCCCTAGATAGCATATAGTTACAGTGTTTATTGGATTTAAATGCAGAAGGTGATTTGCCAGGATAGGATAAGGGGGTTTGTCCAATATTTGCCCAGGAAAGGAAACAGCTTTTCATTCTGTGTCACAGACCTCCCTACTCGACTTCGTATTCTTGACACCTGGTCGTCTTGTTTCTTCATGTTCTCACATTTTACATATCCGTAAATGTGGTGACCACTCTTAGAGATTTAATAACTTTAGAAACAGAACTATAAAGTCCCCATTTCCACCCCAGCCTTTCCTTTTTTGTAGCTACCAAATCAAGAAACCTCTCCGTCTCAGCATTTTAACTCGTAAAAACAAAGAACAGATAACTATTAGACAGTATAAGTATATGCAACATATTCAAATATTAGTGTTCCTTTCAATTTCATATAATACATACACATAAAACACCTTTTCCGTGTTTTACCTTCACTATTCCTGTCTTAACTTTATTAATCTAAAGGTCTGTGTTTGAATCCACCAGCTGCTCCGTAGGAAGCCATCTCCTCCCCTAAATGTGTACAGCCTTGGGAATCTGATAATGGAGTCACTGAGTTAAAATTCTCTTAACAGTGGCCATGGGGTTTTTAGTGGCACAGTGATCAAGTCCTTGGCTGTTAACCAAAAGTTCAATCCTACTAACAGCTCTGTAGGAAAAGACCTGGCAGTCAATTTCCATAAAGAATGCTGCCTACGAAATGCAGCAGAGTGGCTCTCTCGTGTCCCGTAAGGAGTTGGAATCAACTCAACGGTAGCAAATTTTTTTGTTTTTGTTTTATTTTATTATTCTTGTGTGTGTGCCATCACACCAGATCTGACTGGTACAGGAGGAGATATATTGTCTGTCCCTCCTTCTTCAGCAGAGCATCTGGTGGATTTGAACCATGCATCTCTGGGACTGCAGTGCAGCTTCCTGCCACTAGGCCAACAGAGCTCCCTGGTAGCAAGTTTTTTTATGAAGCTCGTTCTGTTTCTGTTTGCTCTGCTTTTTCATAAGCCCTAAAATTCCCCTGGGTTAGCTGCTCCCCTCCTCGTGTTGCCGAGCGCTGCCCTTGTTGCTGGAGGCAGCTTGTACAGTGTCCGTCCCCTCTGCCACGCTAATGGTCAGATCGGCATTCTCTGCAGGTGAGTTGGCCACGTGGCTTCCCCAGAGGGTCCAGTGCGATAGCTCAGGAATCGAGGGCAGAGCTGAGATGCGATCTATCCATTTCTTTCCCTTTTTCCTTCAAAGGGCATCATTGAGCGCTCATCTCCCTGTTGGGATGGAGTGCGGGTGACCTGTAAGCCACAGGCCCTGACTACTTTCCGCTGACCTACTTTTCCATTTGTAGCGTCATCAGTGGTGTTGGGGAGCTGGACCTAGACAAAGGGCCAGAGAAGAAAGCAGAGCCCAGCACCAAAGACAAACCTTATCCTGACTGCCCCTTCCTGCTGCTTGATGTGCGAGATAGAGACTCCTACCAACAGGGCCACATTGTTGGAGGTAAGAGAGAGAAGGCCTGGTCGGCTCTGTCCTGGAGTCCAGGAGGCTGCAAACACATCCTGTGACTGACAATTCAGGAAACCATGTGTTAGTTGGACCCTTTGGGGGTCTCTGACCTATAGCTTCAACTCTATCGTCTCTTGCGGTAAAGGGCCCATGCTAAACGTCGGAACAGCGACACTTCCTGTTTTGTTCATAGTGCACTTTCCTCTTCTTTCACAAAAGTATTTCAGTTTATGATTTAGCAGTTTTGAAAATGTGTTCGTTTAAATCTTCTACCTTTTAACACCTAGTTAGATCTTAAATTTGCTGGAAATTGGAGACAGGTTGTACTCATGGAGCTACAGCAGTCCTAAATCCTAAGGTTTTTCTTTTTTTCCCCCAGCTTACAGTTATCCCATTGCAACGCTGTCTAGAACAATGAACCCTTACTCCAATGACATTCTGGAATATGTATCCTTTGTTGGGTTCTGCATTTGACTGCCTTGAGGACGGTACAACTCACACTTAACATGAACCATACTCCTGATCAGAAAACTCTGTGACGGACCTTTGCTATTGATCAGCTTTGTATATTTTAGAATTTGGATCCTTGACTACTGCTAAGAATCCTGACTCTATTTAAAGCATACACTTCCAAACCAATGTGGCACTGGGTCAGAGAACATTATGTTAAAGGTGGCACTCTGTTGAGAGTTCGTCCCAAGACATTTTTTCCCCTAGAAAGCTTTCCCACTCCAAAATCTCTGTAGATGTTCATTGAAATGAAAAATAAACAAACTAAATTAAATAAAAAAAAGAAGTAAGCCTTTTCTCCTTTTATCAAAATTTTCTCTTAAAATTTGATATTTTTTTCTGCTTGCAAAGATCATACAAGTTGTTGTTGTTGTTATTGTTATGTGCCATCAAGTCACCTGCGACTCATTGCAATCCTATGTACAATAGCTCTGAACCTTTGCCCTAACCTGAGCCAATCTCGCTGCCTCCAACACACTTACCCCCATCACCCCAGTTATTCTTTCATCCCATCTCATCCGGGGTCTTCCTCTCCTGGGCTGTCCCTCTACTCTACGAAGGATGATGTCCTTCTCCAAGGGCTGTCCCTCTTGGCCACATGCCCAAACTATGTGAGATGAGCTTCAAAATCCTGGCTTCCAAGGAAGAACTTAGTTCCACCCTTGCCAAGACAGACTTGTTTGTTCTCCTGACAGTCCATGGCATGTTCAATACTCTTCCAGCACCACAACTCAAAGGCATAGATAGAAAATAATTTAAATATTAAAAAAATATATTTGAAGGGGAATTTGACACTCCATAGATAAGCATTGAGCTGCTATCTGAAAGGCTGATGGTTTGAACCCACCACGTGCTCTACAGGAGAAAGTTGAGACCATCTGCTTCTGTAAAGATGGCGGCCTTGGAAACGCAGGCTTGCCATGTGCTAGAACTAACTTGACAGCAGTGGGTCTGGTGTTTGGGTTTTTCAAGCTCATAATGATAAAAAAGCTAAAGTGTGTGAAACCTCAGCATTAGGGCTGCCTTGGACCAACGTGACACTAGTTTAGAAAGATAAGAACACCAGCTTGGAAGCCAGTGTGGTTGCCGAGACAGGAACAGTGTTCTGAGACAGTGTGGTTCCCGTGGCCCCTGGTCCAAGGTGGCAAGCTGTCATCTTCCATGCCCTGAACTCAGCCTGTTGCCCCCCGGGGTTTCTGTAGTCCAGGGGCATTAGCTCAGTGCTGTGAACCTTAACCCCTCTGACTCAGAAAAACGCCCATGGCAAGATCATTATTCTTTACGACGATGATGAGAGGCTGGCCAGCCAGGCGGCCACCACCATGTGTGAGAGAGGCTTCGAGAATCTCTTCATGCTTTCTGGAGGTGAGCACCTTTGGTTCTTTTGGGGATATTACAGATGTGCAGACTCCCAGTCCGCCAGTCTATCCTTTCTTCTGTCAGTGCTCTGGAAAGAGAGGAACATGTGCACTGAGCAGGTCAGAAGTCCAGCAAGATGTGCAGTCAGTCGGTCCTTGTTTAATTCCTGAAAGAGGGACATTGCCTTAGGGCTTCAGAAGGAAACCGTAGCCTGGGAAACTTGAGGAGAAGGACGTTGAGCATTTGCAGATTTCCAAGCTAACGAGTCACATTTTTCTGGCACTTACTAATTAATGGTGAAGCAGTTGTCCAAGTGTTGAGTCTTATATATTATGTTGACGTCTACTTGACCACAGAGCTTAGACAAAGTACAGGGTTCTTTTCTGATTGTGATAGGCTCAGCCCTCCTATATTAATGTTGTTTTTTTTTCTGATGATCTACACCTAGGTCTAAAAGTCTTAGCTCAGAAATTTCCAGAAGGACTGATCACTGGTTCTCTGCCAGCATCCTGCCAGCCAGTTCTTCCCCCGGGTTCTGCTCGGAAGAGATCCAGCCCCAAAGTGCCACCTCCACCCGCTGAGAATAAATGGAGATTTACCTCAGAAGATTTAAAAAAGATAGAATATTACCTGGAAGAACAGGGTCCTACAGAAAATCCTGGTAAGATATTTTGACCTTCAGAGATAATGGTTTCTGTGCAGCTTGAGATTTTCACCATTGAACACTACCTCATCCCAGGAAAAGCCTAATCTGTTCAGATTTGTGTGTGTGCGTTTGTCTCTGTGTGTCTGTGTATCTGTACATGTGCTTTCCAGGTGCTGTGGGAGGGTATGCAGGTTTGAGGTGATCACAGACAGTGCAAGATTTAGGCATTGAGCATAGATCCAAAAAGGGAAAATATTTTCTCAGTCAAATAAAGTACTTCTCCCAGACTCAGGTGAGATGTTAAACATAAGAGACCTTAATTCCTTCTGGAACAGTGTCCATTTCTATCTGCTGCTTCTGAGCACATTTAAGCCACTTCAGAACACCCTAGGAATTTGTCTTCACACCCAAATGTACAAATTCCTCCTCGCCTTCCTCAGACCTCGCTCATTATATCTCTACAGGGGGAAGGAAGGACAGATGAGGTTAGGTGGAGAGCATGGGAATAAAGAATGGACATGATCTGGGTTTCCTCCTGCCCCTGCCCTACACCCACCTTGGAGGAGGTGGAGGGGTGGATGGTCACCCTTAGCTCAAAGTAGATGCTGAATAGACTTCATTAGCCTAAAAGTGTACTTGGCAGATGGTTCTTGGAACATCCCTGCAGCTCTGCCCCCTGCTCTCTCGCTCCTTCAGGCCGGCTGAGCCAAGCCAACTCCACTGGAAGAGACTCCAAGGTTCCCGCTGGCACCCCGAATCCCCGTGCCCTCAGCAGCAGCGCCCCGCAAGGCAAGCCGTGGAAGTAAAGACGCCATCTCTCCTAGTCAACTAAACGTTTCCCTCCTTTTGGAACCTCTGAGCTCTTCCTAAGTCGGGAAAGCTGCTCAGAGGAAGGACCACGACTGAGTGCTAGACCCTATCCCCGCCTCCACTGAAGGACCTTGACAGGTGACCCCCAGACCCGGAGGCCTGACAGGCTCCAGCCCCTTCCCTGTTGTTTACAGAATATTTATGTCTTTGAAACGGAGTAGGACCAAAAAAGAAAGAAAAAAAAAGAGTCTACATTTTTTAGGCTTTTCTTTGGTGTAATACGGTCCAGCATGTCTGGTCTGGACCTGATGTTTTGTAAATACGTCAGTCACATCTGCTGGCATGTTCTTCCCAGCCCTCTGCTCCCCAACACCCCTCTGGTTTCACAAAGGATTCTCCAGACAACAGTCACGGCAGCCAGAGAAGTGGTCCCAGCACCTCAGGCAGACGTGCAGTCCATCCTGGGCGGACAAACACCCCAGGAGCGCCCCACCCTCAGAATCTGTCTTCCTAGCACGTCCTGAAAGCTCTGTCAGTGCCTGTGAACACGGCTCAGTTTTCAATTTGTAGAAGAACTCTTACACATCCTGAACCTTTCTCTTCACTAGATCTACCCATCTCACCCCCGTCAACCATGGTGCTGGTATACTGGCCGCCAGAGCTCAGGGGTGGGACGGTCCCTGAAGGAACACTCTGGCTGTCTTACCAGGGCTCAGCCCCTGAATGGCCCTCACTGTGACAGGTTGATCAGTTTTCAGGCCCCACTTCGCAGTGTGGGTGAATCCCCCCTAATTGTGTAGAAAACCGGAGCCACTTGAAAACAGCAGCTGCAATTGTGGGCTCGCTAGGTGAGGAGGGCCCCACTTCTAAGAGCCAACAGCCCGAAAGCCCTTGCTTAAAAACACAGTATTAGGCTGATGGAGTAATTAGTGCAATTTTCTGCTTACTTTTCATTCTCCTGACTGAGCTGTGATTAGGCTCAGCCTTTATAGATTCTGGTTTGGGCCGGAATTTTGAATCAGCATTAATTGAATTGCTGGATGGCTGACGTTTTATTTCATTTAATTGGAAGAACAAAAGACCACAGGTAAAGATGAGAAACTAAAAAATCAGAAGGAAAAAAGGAAAGGGCCTTGTTAATTTTTATGGTCTGTGATCTGGAGCCGTGATAAGGGACAGGGAATAAATTGTGCTCTTTGTCATGGCAACCGGCTTCTGAAAAGCCACCTGAAAATTGCTGTCCTTAGGTGGTTACTGCTGCTGGGTAAGATTTGCCTTAATGGTACTATTTTCTCTCCACTGGGGGAAAAAAATGGCCACAGTATTTCTAGGGGAGGGGGAACTTTTTGAGGGGAGCTGTGTTTGTTAGAGAGATGAAGGCAATAAATATAGAGACATATGGATAAATGACATTCAGGTTCAGCCTTACTCGCTTTTAGGGTGTATTTCTTCTCCTCCTTTACTTGATTTCCAAAGTGCAACATTTTCCGATGCTTTGGAAATCACACGAACCAGGGACATTGTTCAGATGTCAGGCCGGGCCCAATTTTCCACAAAATTCGAGAACCTTGTATAAAATCCAGCCAATGTACACATAGCTTTAATGAGGAGCCTGTCATGTTTCCCCATAAATTTATTGCCTGAGAACTTAGTTCAGCCTTTTACTAATGCCAAAACGTTCTGGCTTTCTATTTTCTTTATAATATAGATAGAAAAATGCAAACATTTCCACACACAGTTTTCCCCTCAACACAGACACAATTTCTCAGTCATCTTGGACACATAGACATTTTTAAGAAAAACATCCACCCCCCACCCTCAGTAACAGAATTCTGGTTTAAGCCATTTTAAATTGACTAATCAGGATTTTAGACTTGCCTGCCCAGCTTTGATTTGAAAGTAGACGGTGGTTCCTCCCCAGTCCTAGATTGCATCTCTAAACACTAGAACATTAGAATGGACAGTATCTTTGTGGAATGTTCATTTAGCCAAACCTGCTAGCATTGTTCCTCCTTCCCCTGAGACTTGGAGGAGGTCGGGGATATGTATGTGTGTTTCTCTGTAGCACTTTGCCACGTCTGTAATTATTTAAAGAGTCACCCCACAAAAAGCCTGCCCCAAGCCTGAACTTGGTGTGTTCTGTGTGGCTAGCAGACGTTTTATACTAGCTTGAGGTATTATATTGCTTTTGAGGTTCGATTTTTCCAGTTCCTTCAGTAGATGAATTGACATGTATTATTTAACTCATCAACGGTACTTTGTGCACTTACGAATGTTGACGATTAAAGTACACAGTTATTAACGAGGTGTTTGCTGTCGGTAACACTGAAATCTGCCAATTTCTCTCTTCCTCTCTGTTGAGATGATTTGGGGGAGCCACCCGAGGCTGACGTGATTTGAAAGAAGCTTCTCTTTCTTGCTACCCCTCTCAGCTAAGGACATGCTCTTTCTGTAAGTGGATGAGGAATTAATTTCAGGCGAGGAGCGGGACTGCAGCTCTCAGAGGCCGGGATTCTCTTTGTGCTCAGGCAGGACCACCGGCCACCTTAAGCAGGTTGCACCGTAGTTCTCTGCTCCGTGTTTTGAGGTCTGCAAGCAGCCCCTGCCTGGGAACACGTGACCCCGGGGTGGATGGAGCTTTGTCGCTGCACAGCTCAGCGTAATAACCAATAAGTTAAAAGCCTGGAAGGGGTATGTATTGAAGGGTGGGAGGGAGGAAGAAAGGAATAGAGGGAGACGGGGTGAAGAAGAGAAAAGCAAAGAGGAAAAAGGAGGGAAGGAAGGAACAGGGTCTTAGTCATTCCAAAACAAGAACACGCTGGTGTGCAGTAATGCCAGATTTAATTATTAAACGGTAAAATGATTCCAATAACCTACAAAGGACCTTAATTTTTACCTTTAGGGTTTTTTTAAAAAGGAAAAGGGTAGAGGGAGAAGTTGCAAAGCCAGCTGTCTTTCTGGGCTTGTTACAAGTCAAAATTAAGAGGGAACAAATAAATAATGCTCTTTAGTTTCTCAGGGATTTCTTTCCCCGTGGTACTCTTTAGATGCTTCAGAAATGCTCAGGACTTTCAGCTGTTCCCCAAGAACACAGAACAAAGGGAGGACCTCCTTTTCCTGAGGTCCCTTGTGGAAGCAGAGTCCTAGGCGGGGAGAAATATGTTGGTAATTTGTCTCATGTTGGTCTCTCTTGCGCATCCTCTGACTTTGTTAAGGGGGGAGGTCTGTCCACCAGATCATCCAAATCTGCGTGGCTCTTCCTGCCCAACACTGGAGACGGTACTTAACCTGTCCTGTCCCCAGTTCCAAAATGTTCCCAGTGTCTTCAGTGTGTGTTTCCCCACAGTTCTTTTTGTGATGTAACCCCCATAACTACACTCTTCCCCTCCAAGAAACATCAGAACATGGATTGCAATTCATCGTTTTAATTATGTGGGCATGTTGAGTGCATACGGGCCATTCAATTAATTTTTTAATTAGCAAATCTGTTTCTCATATGAAAGCAACGAACGAGACATGCTTTCAGAGTGGTCAGGATACATTCAAGCAGTGGCACTGTCCTTGAATTGTCATCACTCTCGCAATGATAATTATCGTACCCTCCTTAAATGGGTGCCTAGGTCACCATGGCCTTAACTATGTAATCAAAAACAGAAAGCAGCTCTGAATCCTGACGGAGCAGGATGCGACACGTGATGTGACATGCATTTACCAAACTGCCCTTGTCACCAGCACCGCCCCACAGAAGCCTCGCTCTTCCCTCCCCGTGCTGAAACTCTTGGTTTTAGTGCAAAGAAAGTGTTAGGTCCTGCAGCACCAGGTAAAATGTAAAGCCAACAGAGGTCATTTATTATGTGCTGCTGGCTGGCCAGCGGACCACATTTCTTGGAGGATGTAAACGCATCTCCAATTTGGAATCATTTTGGCTGGCAGCTCCCGGGAGGTGACTCTCAGAGCCTGTTCCAGGGGCCTTTGCTACGTGTTTGTGTGTTTGTTCGGGAGGGAACGAGTTGAACCTGGGACATTTACTCATTGAAGTCCAGGATGGGAGGCTCATTGTCAGCCACCACTCCCGCCAGCCTCTCTGAGGATCTGGAAAGCTTCTTATCCTTTGTCCTCTACTTGTGTGGGAGGGAGAAGGCATTCAGGAACCTGAGAGCTTGGGGTTCCCCTCAGCAGTAGGTGCCCCAGAGCTGATAAGGCCTTCTCATCAGCCACGTATCTGCAGGGCATGCAGCGGGTGCTGCTTCCAGAGTTCAGCACCTACAGGCTCGACTCTTCCCTCTGAAATGAGGTTACTTTTCTCTATCAAATCTGGATTTCCAGGCAGCCCCCACCAGCAGACATTTACGGAACAGTGTTTACCGTGGGCTGGGCAGTGTTTTAGATGTTTTCATGTGTGTCTTGGCTTTCACACAGCTATCCTGTGAGGTGGGCACCCTGCATTTTGAGATAAGGCAAGTGAGACTGGGTTAGAAGTTCAGCCACTCGCCCTAAGCCACCAGGAGCTGGTCTTTGACCCTCACTCTGCAGTACCCCCACCTGACCAACAAAATGTCTCTCTCTTGGACACTGGCTCCCCTTCCCAGCTAGCCTCCTAGGCCAGCATAAAAGGCAATTGGAAACGCAGCGACATTTCTGTTTTCTGTGTCCAGTGTCTGACCTGAAATGTGCTCCAGGATTTTGAGGTTCATTCTGTTTGCCAGTGGACACCCAGTGAGGTATAACTTAAGGAATGAGAGTTACAAACTTTTAATTAGAGTGTAGGGGGAGGGAGAAAGCAGACTGAACAAGGCGTTCAATAAACCATATTGATATGATTTGTGTCTGATGTCTTATTTCCTGTATGGTGGTGTTTCTGATTTACACTGAAACATAAATTGTGTGAGTTGGCCGGGTTTCACGGGAGGAAACGGAGGCAGACATCTGCACCTCACTCCACGTCCATGGAGCCCGGATTCCATCACAAGTCACTGAGAGATGGAGCCGAGCACCG